ATGTCAGTATTCTTTATTTCTTTTACCTTGTTCCTGTAATGAGAAACAGCTTTTTTTAATCCTTATGATGTCCTCAACAGGCTTGTTAACTTACCATGTCATTAGCTGGAAGGTCAGTTTGTCTTTTATATCTGCCTGGAGTTCAGCTTTAGTATGCAACTCTTGGGATTAACCCCCACTTACCCTTTTCTCCACTTCCAAATAATTTCTGCGTCATTAATAAAAAAAAATCCTAAGTACATGCCCCTTTTATTTACTTAAAGTCAGAAGTTAAATCTTAAAAATGCATTCAAGTACTTTAACTATTAACAAAAATGCAGTTTATTTGTGCATCACTCGGCTATAGATCCTCAAATTATCTCTGAATTGGTGCTGACACTGTCCTTCCTTCTGGAGGGTGGCTACTTTTGTTCCCCATGGTCTCTGTGTGTGTTGAATTGAGGATCTACAGCCGAGTGAGGCACAAATAAACTGCGTTTTTGTTAATAGTTAAGGTAATTGAATGCATTTTTAAGAATTAATGTATGATTTTAGTGTCACTTTAAATCTATGGTAACGTGATGCATCCGGTCCAGATCTTCTATCTTCTTCAGTGCTGAGGAGAAGAGTCCTTTTTTAGGTGTCCATATTGCTGCCTGCACCTGAAAACACTTCCAGCGGTGTCCAGTGGTGGGGTCCACTCCGACTCCAAAAGACTGCAGGAGCATCCTCATGTTATGAAGAAGCTATTAGCTGGTGCGAGCATAGGTTTCGGACTGGATCCACAAGTCATAACTTTGGGAAGTGGTTTAGTTCGAGGGACACGGGCAGCAGAGTTAGGTAAGTAAAAAATATCATTTTATTTTAAGACACTACATGGGTCGAATAGGGTGGCTTTAAAATTGGATAAAGGTATTCTGTCAGGGGTAACGGCACAGGTGTCCCCACACCGTATGCAGGTACCTACACAGGTTGACCAAACACGTATGACCACACCGTGGTATGTGTTTATATACAGTTTATTTGTATTACCAACAGGACTGCAACAAGCAGGAAATGATAGCAGGACACTGAGCCATCATCCTGACTGCAGGGAGGGTTTAAATATCCTCCCAGAAAGCACCAGGGGATGGCTAAGTACTGGCAGCTGGGAGACACCCGCAGGTGAGCACTGGAGCTGCACTTTCCAGCACCACCCAGTGGTGGTCTGGTACCTAACAGCGCCTGGCTTCCTGGAGACACCTGCAGGTGAGCACAGGAACTGCAGGACTTAGCTTCACCTGGAGGCGCTCTGGATCCTAACATATTCACACAGTAACTTCAGTTTAACTTCTATTGTTTGGATGATATTTGAAGTAGGGCTGGTAATGATTAAAATGTTCCTGTTCGAAAAAAATTTTAATCGACTTGAAATTAAATTAATTATAACGCACATACAGAGGGGGGTCTCACCAGAGCTTTGAGGGGGCCTCACCAGGGTAGCAGGGCTCTGTGGGGTCTAACCAGCCTTGTTAGACCCACAGAGCCCTGGCAAGACCCTACAGAGCCCCGGTCTCACCAGGGCTCCATGGGGTCTCACCATGGCTTTGTGGGGTCTCACCACGGCTCTCTGGGGACTCACCAGGGCTCTGAGGGGGTCTCACCAGGGTAGCAGGGGTCTGTGAGGTCTAACCAGGGCTCTGTGGGGTCTAACCAACTTTGTTAGACCCCAATGCTGCGAATGGACAGTTATGATCCCAGACACTTGTTGGGGCCCCTGTGATTGGTACTTATTGTTGGGGAAAAAATTAATAATAAAGGCAGTTTTAAGTCCAGAAATAGATATTCAGTCATCCATTGTTCCTGAAAAGATCAGGAACAATGAACCAGTGCAATGGTTCAGATCAGGAACTGCTGAACCAGTGCAATGGTTCAGCAGTGAAACCATTGCACTGCTGAATGGAGGGGCTATACATACCAAATATCAGCCTGGGCACGAGAAAGATTTGCAGCATATAAAATGAGGCACATAGAAGATCCAATTACTTTGCAGTTACAATAAGGCTCACAACGAAGGGAAGGGGAGGCTAACGAAGGGAAGGGGAGGGGTCCGGTGACGTCACGGACATCGATGTCACCGGACTCCTCCCCCTTCCCTTCGTTAGCCGACAGAGCCACTCGGGGAAGGGGGAGGAGTCCGTGACGTCACGGACATCGATGTCACCGGACTCCTCCCCCCTTCCCTTTGTTAGCCGACAGAGCCACTCGGGGAAGGGGGGAGGAGTCCGTGACGTCACCGGATCTCCGACGGAAGACCCGGAAGCCAGCGGAGAGGTGAGTTCCGATCAAAATAATTTTGATCGATCAAAAAAATTAACGATTAATCGAAGGATTAATCGTTAATTTCCGCAGCCCTAATTTGAAGCATTGATAAAAGACCACATATGCAAAAGAACAAGTATGCAAAAGAAAATATCATAAACTAGAACCGGCATAGAATTATAAGAAACAGATATTATCCAAGAATCTACTTTACGAATATGAATAAGCAAATACAAAAAATTGACAGAGGTGCCTTATGAATTCATTAAGATCTACTAATTTGAAAAACTCTGTAAAGGGGAATTAAAACGTAATCATAGAGATCTATGCTTAAGCCTAAACGGTCAAATGCATTAGAGGTTGAGGATCAAGGAGGGGAGTTATAGACAGTGTATGTTTTTTGCTTCGTGAATAAAGACGTTTATCTTCCAGTAAAGATCTTGTGGAGTGCGGCATTTTTAACTTTAAATACAGTTTCTATTTTTTAGATGACTAGAAGCAATGTAGTGGAATACAGCCCTTGCAAACATCTACAGCTCACCCACACAATGATCCTGATTATCCATAGGAGTAGAGAATCTTCACACAATACATTATCCAATTATGTGAAAAGCAAATTCCTGTTTACTTTTTCATATCCACATAATTGGGTATTCAAAGAAAACAGGAATTTGCTTTTCATTGGATAATCTAAGTCAGTATTCACACAATTTTATTTTGTGAAGTTTCTCAATTCCTTGAGTAAATCGTCCCATATGTTATGATTTGCAACTACGTTGCAAAGGATTCAATCAAAGGCAACAAAATTAAGTACAGTTAGCTTTACAACAACTCAGAATAGCATTTACAAAATAAATACCTGGAGACCTTGTCCAGCAGCTGATGCTGGAAACATTAGTATTGCAGTTTTGCCAGGGGGCAAAAAGAGTCCAGTACTTCTCCATGCATCAGCACCTAGGAGTAATGCAGTAATTGTTATCATACCACCACATATCTTACATAGATAGGACAACAAACATTATATATTTCAATGTTCTACCTGGGTTTGTGGCATCAATCTGTACTGTAACAGGGTGCTGGTCCAATAAATCAGTGTCACCATCCCCATGGTCATCCAGACATTGAAGGCAGCTGACTTCCTGAGCCAAACACATGATAAAAGCCTCTTTGGAGCTGTTTTTTACAGGACACTGTTTACTGGCAGTGGGTAAAGGACACCCTTGTACTAGATGTACAAGTTTGTGCTGTAGGGATGAGGTGAGAGGGCTGGCTGGAAGCCTCATGTAAGTTGAGACGTCTTGTCTGAGCTTGGCCAACCAAGAACTGAGAGGTGGTTTTAGCTCAGCTCCACTCTTTAAGTCGTTTAGCAGCTGGCAGACTGCTCTAGGGAAGTGGTACGTGTGATCAACTGCTTTGGGATCCAAAGCCTTGTAAACTCCTTGCCCAACTGTCCCTCCTAGAATACTTATTCCAAACTTGTTAAGTATTTTATTTCCTGGGTACTGAGAAAGCACATTTGGATTTGATCTGGACCAGTACCAGGCATGGCCAGCAATGAGCAGGCCTCCTCCTTCTGCTACAAACTGCTGGATCTTTTCAGCTTCTGCATCACTGTAGGAAGTGCAGCAATACACACTGAGACCTGGAATCAAGTCAGAAGCCACACAAGATAAACCTGCATTCTGTAAAACATGGAGGAGATTTCCCAGTTGCTTAACACCAATCTTTCCATTTCTGCCCATGTCTAGCCAAGAAACAGCATTGAGAATGAAGGTTTTCAGCTCTGGCTTAGAGAGGTAGCCTTCATGTGTCCCTACAACAACGCGCCCTCTGCCAAAGTAGGCAGCACCAAAAAAGCATTGATTGTTGCTGCTGAGCCCAATTGGGAATGTTAGAGGCCCATGAAGAAGAAGGTCTGAGGGCACAGATTTTCCACTGATGTCCAGGTCACTAACACCTTGCATGAGATGCGTTAGATCCGCTGAAAAATGTACACTGCAAGAAACAAAATCAGACACCCCTGCAGCTATTAGTTTTGCATTCAGTATGAACTGAACAGGAATTACACGCTTTCAACAAAAGGATAGTATGTAAGATTTAGGTGGGACAAATACTGATAAACTGCATGAATAACAAATGCAAAAAGTGTTCTCGCTTTCTTTATATCATAAGAACACCAAGCATACCTTCCACCCAAGAGTCACACATTTTACATCTAACATTTTATTAGAAAAATGTGTGAATCCTGGTTAAAAATACTGATAAATAGACCCCTAAAAATAGCTAACAATACCATAATAAAATGTGAATCATGGGCAAATTAATAATAATTATTTCTGATTGTTGTGAATGCTGGAACGAAGCCAGTAGGCAGCCTTGGAATACGTTAGGCACCAGCCCACATTTTTTATACATAGGGTGAGCGAACTATGAATATGTTCTGTGGTCTGCTCAGTCATCCACAGCTGCTGTGAACCACTATATTATCCACAGCACTCCCACAACAATGATCTGCACCAAGGAATTCAAATACAGGAAAATATCAGCACCTGTGATTTATGGCTCCTTCTTTAAAATACTGCCGTAAGGCAATGTTTTTACCTTATCATAATATACAGGGTTATTCACAAAAGGGTGAAGAGTTTGGAGAAGACAGGAGAAGTGAACAATCTAGGACAACTGAACTGGAAAGTGAGCTGAATTGGAGAATTTTTCAAAATCAGCTATGTTGTCCTAGATTGTTCACTTCTCCTGCCTTCTCCAAACTCTTCACCCTTTTTTGAATAACCCTGAAAGTGTTATGTAGTCTTACGCAAAATCGTGTATCTGGTCTTTGTCCTTCTTTTTACCTCTGACACTAGCTACAATGTCCCCCTGTCCATCGTTCCCTGGAGTGCCATCAGAGGGGTTGCCTGCATGCATCTGTCCTGAAGTTTAGTGGTCTGCCTTTCTGGATCTATCATAGCACATTTCAAGGAGTGATTTTTCTGGACTTTTGTGAGAGCATTTTTGGCTTCTATATTTGTATAATGCCATCCACACATGTAATACGCTAGGTGTTGCGCTCTGTTCTTTTTCCTTATGTAAAAGCCTAATGCCCATGCGGTCTTGACTGTGTTCATAAATAACTTGCACAGATCAGCCCCTTGCTGCTGCTTCACATCTTGTGACTTGCTATAAAACTACAATGTTGCAGTCTGCTCATTGTGAAGGGAAGTCGGTGGAATGCTTCCTTCTGTCTGCAGCAGACTGATGACCTAATCTCAGCCGAGGCAAAGTCACTGACTGGAGCTCAAGACATGTCTTTTCAGAGATGAAAGGTACACTGCTGTATATTTTGACAAAAAGTGACTCACACAGTGGAAATGTCCTCTGTTAAAGGTTTTGATTCTCTGGCACTCATGTTGATTTTATGCACATCATTGCGACACAGTTCAAAAAAATAGAAACTAGAAACTCATCACTTTGGAGATACCTATATGTTTACCTTTACCTAATAGTTATAGAGAATTGACAAAGAATAACTTAATCTCTAATATGGACTTTCTAAACTACAGACAATTTTTTCCTTATTACGGCTCTATCACGGTATTGATCTACAAGGACTATCGGTCATAGGGTACTCACTCTGTATGCACTGGGCTCCATGGTATGTTCTCACTCACACAAAAGTTCCCCTTCTCTCCATATTTGTCAGTGAAATACACTCCGGCAACCGATGTTACTTTGTTCCCAGGAAAATTCCACAGAACGTTCTCCTGTTTGTTACATTGAGACCAGTACCAGGCTTGAGCTCCAATAAGCACACCTCCACCTTTTCTCAAGAATGTGACAATATCCTGTGCCTGGCTGTCATCATATCCAATTGTACAGAACACCCCTAGATCTTTCTTCAGACCAGACACCTTTTCTACCCTGTGTCCAGAGGAGGAGAGAGTCTGCTCAAGGAGACTTAGTGTGCCGTTAACACCAACTACTGCTCCCACAGATGGTTTCAGCCAGGATATAGCATTCTTCAGGAAAGCCATGAATTGTGGTTGGTTTAAATAGGACTCATGGCTCATGACCACTATTTTACCCTTCCCATACTTAGAGGCAGCCAGGAGGACATGTTGTGCTGGAGTCACTAGCACTGGAAAGGCCGTGTCACCAGTCAGGAGAAGTTGACAGGGAATGCTGTCTCCAGAGAACTCCAGGCTACATAGGCCATGGACAAGTGAACTGTAGTCTTCTTTAGCTGTCATATCTCCTAAAAACAAAAATATGTGATCATATTAAATAAAACTAGAAGTTTGAAGTTATGTTTGTCAAGAGCACTCAAAGGCCAAAGATTATTATATTGACATTTGGTATAAACATATTTGAATACTGGATTGTGTCTCTCTAGATTAAATAAAGACTGGGTGCATCCCCATATAGGGCTCAAGGTTCTATCACAAAGGTAACTCAATGCAATTGCAAATATGAAGAACATACTTTAGCAGGTCTTTGCAATATTGTGATCTTTATATAACAATATTATAAGATATTATAAGAGTTCCACTGGATGTTCCAGCTGTGAAAAATGGTAAGCACCATAAGGGATACTGTCAAGAGACTGCATTTTTTTATTCATGGCAAGCAAGAAGTATTTTTTATATTCATAATAATGTGACTTGTTAATACTGATGTTCTTTATTCATTTATGTGAAATGCTGAATGTATTGATACTGTAGATGAGTGAGGTAAGTGCTCTCCAATACCCGAAATTACTAGATACAGAATGTCACTTTAAGTAGTGTGTTGGAATTACGGACCTGTAATTCCTAAGCCTTCATGATTTAAGAGACATTTACCTTCTATTATTTGGGAGACACTTAAAAGCCATTTTTAAGAGAAATTTCTTAAAAGCTTTAGAATTTCTTAGGGGCTTCTGAAATTTTTTTTTATAACAAGCCACTTCCCAGTTCTATGAATTTTTAGATTTCTGATCATTGTATTTGTATAGACATATCTAAAACTCTCTTGCGTATCTACATTCTTCTTCATATTTTGTCTGCCAGTGTCTATTCTCGACCATGGATGGTCAAAGCTATAGGTCAACTTCTCCAAATCAGTAGCCTCAAACCTTATTTGTACATGGACAGATATTGGTAGCAAAACCACAAGATAGGTGTGAACTTATTTAAACTGTGGTTAGGAGCTAGTCAGAAGCAAGTTAACACCTTACTATCTGAACGAAATATGTATGTTTTTTTGGTCAATTCATCTTTGTAACTGCCAATCAAAGGATGTACGTAATTCATTATGCTAATTTACCTGCCTAACCCCATGTATTTGCAATAAGAAACCAGAATTATTTCCTCTTTTTAATTGTTCTCACACATGTGTTAAATACATGCTTTAAAGTGGATCTTTACCTCCTCTGACTAAAAATCACATCAGCATGCAGCTCTGCATGCTGATATGAAGTCCTCTTACATTCAGTAGTTAAACAAACATATTTTTTTTTTATTTACAATTTTTTTTTTTCCCCACTGTGGCACAAATGATGTAATCCAGCCCAATCATTGCATCCTGGGAAGGTTACATCAGCAGAGCATTGCTAGGAAGTCTCATCTGTAATCTCATGAGATCTTAGGGAAAGGCATTTTCCTCCACTTACATGATGTGCATGGTCACATGTCCTAGTCACATGTGCCAGAGTTCCAGAAAGTGAAAGGAGATCTAGTAACCTGCCCTTAGAAAAAAATGGCCACTGTGAGAAGAATGGGGAAGAAATGAGAAGTAAGGTATGCAAAGAATACAAAGCCTGCAATTATCTATTAATATCTGTTTGTAGATTGTCATTAATAAACATTTCTAAATGTGTGTTTATTGTCATTTTGGAGATCTGGATAAAGTTCCTCTTTAATATTTGACGAGGAGTCTGTGTTCCTGGGATAAAGGCAAGGTCCCCCCAGCCAGGACAGTAGCAGGCTGAAAGGTAAGGGGTTAGGGCTTGGGTTAAAATTAGGTTTCAGGGGTTTCAGTGACAGGTAGATTTGTAGGATCAAGGCCAGGAGTAAATTTTAGGACACATTTTGCTCACCATAATCGTGAATTTGGACGATTCTGCACAAGCCAACTCATGTTGAAGCACTCCCAGAACATGCTGAATAGTCAATGCATAGTCAGTGTATATAGAACCTTATACTGTACCTCCAATGGAGAACTCTGAAGGGGAACACTAATATAAGGTAGAACTCTGATGGGGACAGCTAATGTAAGGGGGAACTCTGATGGGGACAAATAATGTAAGGGGCACTCTGATGGGGTACACTACTGTAAGGGAGAACTTAGATGGAGAACACTAATATAAGGGAGAACTCTGAAGGGGACAACTAATGTGAGGGGACACTCTGTAGGGGATAACAAATGTAAGGGAAAGCTCTGTAGGGGAACACTAATGTACTGTAAAACTCTGATGGGGACAGCTAATGTATAAGGGGACACTGTGATGGGGACAAATAAGGTCAAGGGGCACTCTGATGGGGTACACTATTGTAAGGGAAATCTCTGATGGGGAGAGTAAATGTAAGCAGACACTTGGATGGGGACAAGTAATGTAAGGGCGCACTCTACGGAGTACATTATTGCAAGTTAAATCTCTGATGGGGACAGCTAATGTAAGGGGACAGTCTGAGGGGGACAAATAATGTAAGGGGGCACTCTAATGGAGTACACTCAGCCGTGTATTTAGGTCTCGTGCTGCGCTAGACAAGACAACACTCGGCACCCCCCCATCTAAATTTGTCCCACCCCTGCCTGTTCCAAGACATTTTGCGTAACCTGTCAAGTCGCTGGATGCAGCTTCTGACAGGTTGCGCTATTAGGCCTCATTCACTCATCTTAGAGTCGTCCCGTACAGATCCGCATGGCGTGCACGGTCATAACTGGCCGTTCCCGGGAAGGACAGGGGTTGCGTGTGATTGTACGCAGCAGCCTGTTCTTCTCTATGGGAGGACGCGGCCGTACTCCGCCCTATGCTCACCCACGCTGCACATCAGTGCGGGTGTCTGTACTCGCACACGGACAGGATGGATCCTGTCTGTGTTCGAGCACGGACACCCTCATGACGCACGGATGTGCAGTTCGGGTGTGCGTACGGCTGCATCCTCCCATAAAGAAGAACAGGCTGCTGCGTACAATCACACGCAGCAGCCTGCGTGTGTAACACTTATCCTTTCCGGTAACGGCCCGTTACGACCGTGCACACGGCATGGATCTGTACGGGCCGACTCTAAGCTGTGTGAATGAGGCCTTAGCGTTGCAGGGAAGCAAGGGTCTGAGGTGGGCTGTAAAGGATCTCTGGTTGGCTATGCAGGGTCTCAGGCAGAGACTGCCAAAGACCCTGCACATCCCACCATAGACCTTGCACAGCACTCCTGAGTCCCTGCTAACCCCACCAGAGACCCCTTGAGAGTCTACCATAGGCCTTGCACAGCCCACCATAGGCCCTGCACAGAGACTCTCAGGTGTGCAGGATCTATTATGGGCTGTGGAAGGTCTCTTTCCCTGCACGCGTACTGCTCCTCTTACCTGCAGCTCCCAGCCTGCTTCCAGGACATGCCGTTCTTCCTGCATCTTCGTCCGGCCCGCGAAGCTTCTTCCTCCAGCCACCCGCAACCTCCGCTGGCCGGGCCGCCTCTCTCTCGGTCCCATCAGCCCTGTGTCTTCCCTGCCCCGTGCCTAGCCCCGGCGGCACATACAGCCGCAAAACTTCTTCCTGGACCCGCCTGCAGATTCCGGCGGCTGGGCCGCGTCTCCCTTGGCCCCGGCCACGCCTCCTCTGTCATCCGGCAGCTCGCTTCCAGGCCCTACTAGCAGCCACCTGATTAAGCAGCCCAGGCTGCCTGATTTTGTCCACCCGTCGCCGGCTTTTCTCTTTGCAGGGGGGCGAAAAATGCCGCCCCCCTGCAAAGTGCCGCTCCAGGCAAACGCCTTGTTTGCCTCGCTGTAAATACGCCCCTGGGTACACTATTGTAAGGGAAATCTCTGATGGGGATAGCTAAAGTAAGGGGACAGTCTGATGTGGAACACTAATGTGAAAGAAAATTCTGATAAGGACAACTGATGTAAGGGGCACTCTGATGGGAACAACTAACGTAAGGGGGCATTGAAAGAATATGAGATGTAGACCACTGCTCAAAGAAAATTTTACTGAGTGGACCTCCTTGATTTTTAATTCAATACCCCTGCTGTAAAGGATAGGAAATTGTAGTTCTGCATAAAGAAGGTAAGAAACAAAACCATGCCAGATGTGTTAGAGAAGGGATGGAAGGAAGAGGTTGGAAGGGGTTTATATTTTGACCAAAGTTGGGCTATAAGTTATTGTAACAGGTCCTACCAAATTTTCATTTAATTTAACAAAATTAAATTAATTTAACAAAATAATAATGATTTATCAAATCAAGATCTGTTTTAAACATTCCCTGTCGCAATCCTGTATTTTTATATTATTTAACTCCACTGAATACCACGCTAATTTCTGTAAAACTCTTCTATTGACCTTCTGGTGCAATGCATGCTCCATTGTATGGGGATCGCTGAGTTGTGTGCACTGCATTGTGGAATGTCAGGATAACGTAGGACTTCCAATATAAGCCTGGGGTCACATGTCTAAATTTATATATATATATGTATATATATATATACACAGTATATATGTAAGAGTTTAGAAATATAGTCAATATGTAACAAAAAGCAGTCATATGCATACCTGTTGGCTGTTGCAGAAGCAGACGATCAGTGGGGATGACACCTACTATGCCAACAAACCCTCTCCGGATTTATGTTTACAATAAGGGAGTGTCAAAGGAAAACTCATTGCTGAAGCCAATAGAACAGCAATCCAGACCGCAATCAGCACACAAAGGAAGCATTATCAGTAGTGTGTGAGAGGGGGGATGAACAAGAAGAACTTGTATGGAAACTGGGGCAGACACGTCACTGTGAATCAGGAAGTGATTTAGCTACTTTTTCCGCGCACAGCGCAGTACTGTGAATGAAATTACAGCTATACACGTAATGCCTATGGGCTGCACTTCTTCTGGATGACCACTAGAGGCCGCCATTTACATGTACATTGTGCTCCTCAAGAACTTGAGCTAGAACTTTAAGACCAATCAAGCTGCCTACTACTATCAAGGCAGGCATCTGAAACACCCAAAGGTGCTGAAGATACTTTAGCTTAGCATGCTTTAGTTCTTCAGGAGTTTAAAAA